GGTTGTTGGAGCTATGGGTTTTAAAGTATTTAGAGGTTGTGATTTGAATCTCGGATAATTCACTTCACATTGCAATATCGATTTATTTATAGTTGTTTTTCCTTTTTTTAAATTCACCCAAAAAAAAACATTTTTTACACATGCATACTTACCGGACACTTAGTTATGTCAATTGTATGATTTCATCTGATCTTGATTTGACCTTGATTACTTAATTACACAAGTTTATCAAGTGTTACACTCACATTTCATGCTTAATTCAGTTTCTGAGACTGTGTGTGGAACAGAATTCATAGTGAACTTTTCATATCCTGCATAAAAGGGTTAAAAGCAGTTGAAGGATCAGTGACCTTTTTGTATGGTTAGTGATTATAGTAGTTTTTCAGAATGTCTTCACATAACCCACTGCAAGGATTTTGGTACCGATGGATTCCTCTCACTCTCTACCATCCAAATATATCAAAATTATGCCATGGGAATCCCCCCATTAATGACAATTTTGGCACAGGTAACAGGGGAGGGCATGAAAGGCATTATGGAAATTATGATGTAAAATATGAATAATATATATGGAATTGGTCACTATATTCTCTAATAGGATCCCCCTCCTCGGGAACTGTTACCTCCCAACCCCTGCACTGAAAGACAGAACCTCCTTATGCGCATGGCAGGGTAGTGTGTACAAATGGTATGTGGGAGCACTCAATGCCAAGTTTGTCCAAGACTCTATCATGCTCTGATTACACGGAGAATTCTTTGCCATCCAGGACAGATGTTGGGGGGCAGCAGCCCAGCCTGTGGGGTTACCTCCTGCATTTGACTATATATTGATCTTATGTCATTAATTTTGTTACGTTTGGATAATAGAGAATAAGAGGAATCCATTGATACCAAAATTGATGTTTCTTTCTTTGTTTTTTTCTTTCCTTTTCCTTTTCCTTTTTTTTTTTTTTTTTTTTTTTTTTTTTTTTTTTTAATGTTTTGCACATGAAATCCTTGACTTGCACTGACAGTATATCATTTTTCTAATGTAATTAGATGCGAGTGAATGAATGGGTAACAGACACTCATGGGATAATATTGAATTTAATCACACTGGTATTATTTAATTAATTCTCTTTAATTTCTTCGAATTATTGATGTGAATTCTTGCTGCACAATCAACTTGCTTACTCATTCTTGATGTTACACCATTACTGCTTCCTCATATCAGTATTATACAGACCCAAAGCAAATAAGAAATTACAAACTAATAGATTATTAAAGACCATACTAGTATACTGATATAGGTACATTATCTCACCTAATTTATGCTAATATTTATGTAATGATGACACTTAATATATGTCATAATTGTTTTTTCATGTCGTAGCAGTGACATGATGTGATCATTCTACTACTGTTTTTTGTGTATTATAACTGTTACTTTAATTACAGGTACTTGAATTGCGATAGTAAAGAGAAGAAAGAAAGAAGAAAAGGGAAGATGAAGATTTCCAAGAAAAAGGAAAAGGCAAATGCTGCGGGTACAGCGAAGCCCCAGAAGACATTGTTTGATTTCTTCCAGAAGCCGGGCACTTCCAGCACCCAGGTGGAGAAGGTGTTGTGCCCAGCATGCAACACACAGGTCGTCAAGAGCAAGATCAATTGGCATCTTGACCAGGACTGCAAAAGCAAAGAGAAAAAGAAAATGAAGAAGGGAAAGAGAAGCGCAATAAAAGAGAAAAAAGTGACAAAGGATGGCAAAAATAAGAATAAGAGAAAGAAAGCCATGTTGTCAGAGGATGAAGATGAGGATGAAGATGATGATGATGAGGAGGAGGATGAGGATGTTGACATCGAGATACTTGAGCCCAAAAAGGAGGAAGAGGATGAAAACTCTAAGGATGATTTCTATATCAATGCCTCCATGGTTGAGGTGATGATGGATGAAGGCTGCAGCGAAAACACCAAGAATACTCCAGTGCAAAGTACCAGAGAACCTGTTTCACCTTATTTCTCGGGCGGTGTGCCACCATCAAACGTCACTCCCGGAAAGAGGAAAGAGAAGGTCATTGTTAACCAAATTCCAAAGATTGAGAGTAATTCCATAGCCCAGTTGCAAGCAGACTGGGACTCCCCTGAACCTACCCCAGAAAAAGCGAAGCACCCTTCAGCATCAAAACCTAGGCAACCAACTCCATGTTCAAGTGGGAAGAGCACTCCTCAAACAGTAGCTGGACAGGTCGTTAAAAAGATGCTTGAGGAAGACTGGGGTTTGTGTTCTCCACATACGACCCCTTTAAAAGACATAAAGGGTGTCAAAGGCCAAAGCAATGGCAAACATACCCCAAATAATAATGGTTACCCAGAACGCACTAGTGATGAGGAATTTCAAGAAGAGGTTATAGTATTTCGAACACCCAAGAAGCCCAAACCAAAGAATAGTCCTAAGAAATCTGGTAAGAAGTCATCAGAAAAGGCCAGTAAAGAATCTGTTGCTGATGGGAATAAGAGTACGCTGACAACAGATAGAATCAATAATGCACTGAGATCTCCTGCATCTAGTCAAGGAAGTACCGCTCTAGAAAGTGAGGGTGACAGCATACCTTTATTCAGCCCTATCAGGAGTCCAGGGTTGGTATCTCCTGTGCGATCCCCCACACCCTCCCCAGACTGCAAAACACTCAACCCAGTGATAAGGAAACTTTTCACGCCCCCAGTGTCTCCACACGATTCCCCAGACAGTTCGCCAGAAGTTTCTCCAAGTAAACTCAAGTTATCCCCCCAAATCAATAATAATGTACATAGATTTAATAGAATAAATAAAGTTCTGTCTTCACAGGAAGATGCATTTGATGCCCTGTCACAAAGCACCTCACAGAACAGCAAGAGTCCGATAAAAAGTCCAGACAGGGGGAAACTGCTTGTCAGAACACCAAGAAAAATTAATCAGAGCATCAGAAGTTCAGGACTCTTGCATGATTCCTCTCAGAGTAGTTTAAATGTCATAACCCAGAGGAATAAGAAACATCAATCTCCCTCGGCCAGTAATTCAAACTCTCCCGTGAAAATGAGTCCAGGAACATCCAGCCAAGCGATGGAAACCAACGCGCAGGAGAGGACTCTGGTTCATGATCCTTCAATATACAGAGATAGAAGAGGATACTATCTAGACAATTTTATGAGAATCATAGACACTGTTATGTCACAGCCCCAAGACCTACAGCTTTTGAACTGTGAGGATTTAGCAGTTATAGAGACTTTTCGTGACTTATCACTTTCAGCACAGAAACTGTATGTACGACTTTTTCAGAGAAAAATTAAGTGGAATAAAGCCTCCAAGATTGAATATAAAGACATATGTGATGCAGAAGATACAATGCTTTATATAAAGGAGCTTACATATGCAAATTTCCTGTTGAACGGTATGATATCTATTTTTTGGAGTTTGGTCATCTTATTCTGAATCATAACTAGATGTTAAGATTTATTATTTAATTAGGTGTTGTTAGTCAGTATGTAATATGATATTTTAAATTTAACTAATGAAATTGTTATTATGAAATGCAAGCAAGACTGCATTTGAGCTATGTAGAAAAATATTCACTTTTTTAGGTTCATATTCCTTGTTGATAACCAGATCCTACATATTTAAAAAAGAGTTATCTACTGTATGATACGTACTTGACATTTTGTTGATAAACAGATCCCACACATTTTCATAATGAAATGATGCACTGTGTGATATGTATGTACATGCTCTATCTTGACAGAGACAGAAATGACCGGACTAGAGGAGGTGTTGGCCATACTCTCTAGTGAAGAATTGCATGGATTGTGTAAGGAAATGAAGGTAATGCCTTGTTGAACAGAGTTTTGTAGCATGAATAGTGTAGTAATGAGACTGAAAAAGCTTAGATACTTTTAGGTCTTTTTAGGATGTTTTTCCTGCCACTTTGATTTTATTGCATATTATGATTTTTATTGATTTACTTTTTTCTTCATAGTATTATTATTATTTCTTTTCTTTCTTGCTTCCAATTTTTCCTATTATTATATATAGGTTATTTGTATATACATATTCATAATTTTTATTGTTATTATTGGTTTCAGAAATTAAGTAATTGTGTCTATAGATTTTTCAAATAATTTTAAAAGATTTCTTATCGATAATCCTCAGATCCGTAGTAGTGGGAAGAAGGAGGAATTAGTTTCAAATCTCATAAAATTCACCAAACAACAGAAAAGCATATTCAGCGCTTTTAAGAAGACAGCGAATGAGGACTCTGTTGTCCTGAAAAGGTAACCAGAGAAAGCGAATGAGAATGAGTGATACCTATTAGTGGCTTATAGTAACATTGATTATGTAGAGCCAGATTTCCAATAGGCCCTGGTCAGAAATTATCACCGCTTTGGTCTAGGTACTCTCCCTGGAGCTCGGGAGCTAGACTTATTCCTTGCTTAGAACCTGCCAATTATTTCCTAGAAGTGATGGTCATATTATTTGAGTGTCTTAGAAATTTATTAGTAATTATGATGCTGTCATAACAATCTAAAATTCTTTTGGAGCTTGTCTAGGCATCCCTAGTCTGGGGGGGAATAATTGCAATGGACCCAAAACAGGAGGCTGGACGGTTGGAGGTGGCTCAGGCCAGGGCTGGGTCGGAGTAGGCAACCTTAGCTTGGAAAGTTGGTTTGCCCATTGGCTTTGAGGGGGGATTGAGAAGCCAGGGAAAGCACCATAGGGTGAAGGATTTTATTATTGTTATTGTTATTCCTATCTCTGTTCTTCCCAATCCTTGGCCATTGCTGTTTGGTGAACAAGGAGGTGCGACGGGTGTTCATGAGAGTCCTCATGCTCTATGGCCTCCCACGGTATGATGAGGAGGATGAAGGAGGACAGCAATCCCAGCTCACAACGCTCCTGATGGTGAACATGGGCAAAATGGAGTTCCCTGAGTTTGAGGTCATCAGGAACCATTCCATCTTCAGGACACGAGAAGACCTTCTCAGGTAGGGAATCCCGCATTGAAATATTGAAAGAAGTCTTTTAATTATTAATTTTATTATATTTCACTGTGTGTGTGTGTGTGTGTGTGTATACGCGTGTATATGTGTGTCTGTCTGTCTGTCTGTTTGTTTTTCCCTTCTATTTTATCTTCCTTCTTCTTTCCTCTTGTCACTTGTATAGTTCAGTCTGCCTGTCATGGCCATATTTTAAAGGATGATGTATGTTTTCAATTGATATGTTATGTATTTTGAGTAAAAACTATTTAATCATTCATCCCTTTTTCTTTTTTACTTTTCCTTTCAGATATGAAACTTGCAATCAGATTCTCATTGATGTACAAGAGTGCATGGAAGCACAGAAGTGGGAAGAAGCTTTGCAACATTGCCAGCTTGCAGTAACAACCTATCAGGAGCTTATATCCGATGAAGAGTTGATGTATGTAGATTGGTGTTATGTATAGTGTAATAGGTCTATGTAGCTATGCATATTTCTTTTTTACAGTTTTGTTAACTACCTCAGAGAATTATATATTACCAGGTATTAAGGTTTTAGCTTCCTCATCAAGGGTGATATTGGATTGTGTTTTTTAACTTATTTTGGTTTCCCATGAAATGCTTTACCTGACAAGTTTTGTTGTGAATTGGAAAGTAATTGAAGAATATTTCCCCTTTGCTTCTCTAGTTTATGTACCTCATAAAAACTAAATTTGAATTGCAGTCTGTACTGTAAAGTGTTTAAAGTTGTTTTCCTCCTTGTTATATTAAAAGAATGCTCTCCTCATCAGGAACCACGAGAAGTCGCTGCCAAGCTTCTTGCGTCGCTTTACATCTGTGTCAGTCTTGATTTACATCTTGACGTGTTCTGTGGAGTGCCACCAGAGGCTGAAGAGTTACCAAAAGGCAGTGGATCAGCTACAGGATTTGCTGAAACAGAGAACGCATTTGCAGGACTACAGAGGAAGATGGTTTGACAGACTAGCACTCAATTTGGCAACACATTTGAAGAAGCCAGCGCAGGTGAGGTTATAAGACCTATGATATGATGTCCTTTGTTATCTTTAAAGCAGCAACAAGTAGAAGACCTTTGGTTCATCAATTATGGCATCAGTAATATTTTTAAGCCATGTAAGAAAGGATATTAAGGTGGTGGTGTACCCTCTTTAGCTACTTCAAACATTCATACCAGCTGTTTGTTTGACAGGCTGTTGACGCTATTCAAGAAGCTTTAAAGGATCCCGAGGTGCGGAAAGGCCATCGCCTTTCACTAAGCATGAGAGCAGAGAAAATGGCAGCTTCTGCCCGACATAAATCACTGGCAGCAACCATTGCTGAAATGCCTCTTATGCACCCAAGAGAAGCACCAAAGATTATTATAGAAGGCAGAAGTCTCCCAGGGTAAGATGCTTCAAGATTGAAGTTCCTTATTCTTTAACCCATCCGTCCCGGGTGTCACATATATGAGACACAAGGAAAAAATAAACATTCGAAGATTGATTAAAGATTTGATACTTTTACAAAATGTACCCCGGCGCGGGTGGGTTAAGAAGATTAGTACATGCATGAACTAATAGATGCTGCAATATACACATTTGAAGGGAGACTTGTCTTTTTCTGAGATTTATTTCCTTTCTTTGTGCTTCTTGTTTCACTGTCCTTTTCTTCTCTCTCATTTTACACGTGCTTATCAACAGGGACATCCCTGGATATAAGAGGGTTTTTATCCGCCAAGATTCAGCTCGCCATGCAGGAGAAGGAGAAGTCACAGTGTGTTCTGTTGAGGAGTTGGTCTTGGGTCACTATAAAGACCAGGGTTACACAGAAGGTAGCTCTTCTTTCCTTTTAGTTTTAGTGAGACATTATTTTACTGTAAAGTTTAATAGGTGATGTAGTTTATGAATGTATTCCATTTTAATTTAGATGCGCCAGTAATCATGGAGGTATTACAAGCTAATCACAAGCATAAAAACTTTCCAGGTTTGCACCGAGAAGGTACGACAGTGAACTCTCTATTTGGCCTGTATTTCTGGGATGCTCTCTACTTGCCAGTGTCAGATGTATTCAGATCTCCACACCAGGCGTCACCCTTAGATTTGGATGACCCAAACTTTTATGCGGCCAGGAAAGAGTGGATTGACCGAAGGCAAGTTTTTTGTCTCTTCTTTTTTTTTTTTTTCGGCTATTGCCTGCTTTATTTATGAACGAAAATTAAATATGTGTCAGTTGTACTTGTCATGAATCTGTACTGCAATAAATTTAGGATATTTCTTTAAAATTACATGTTTATTAGTCCATATATACATATTAAAGAACTTTACTATGAAGATGATATTGGTTTGTGATGAGTACACAGATACATGAGAAAGCTAAATTATGTGTTTGATTCATAGACTCTGTGATATGCGTCTTTGGTCGGAGGAAAGAGCAGTTAGTGAACTGGAGCAAGTATGGACTCAACACATTGGAAAAGTTTCCCTCGTGGCTTGGGACCTCTTCCGAAACCTAGATCATGCCAAGGTAAAGAGTATATGAGGCTCAGTTGATTATCCATTACACAAATATTGTTAAATTTTTAAGGTGTTTCTTGATCCTTCATATTGGGTATTCAGAAATAACAGTTTTATCATAAAGTTTTTGTTGTTATTTTTAACAGCATAGAGTCAGAGTGTACCAAGCATTCCAGTATGTAGAGTACAAATAAGGGGTAAAAATAGTCACCCCAAGAAGAATATAAATACTGCAGGGTTAATTTTTCACAAATCCGAAGCTTGTAGCTACACCCACATATTAGTACCAGGATATACCTCTCATAGCCTAACAAGCAAACAGCTGTTTAGCACACAACTGAGGCAGGCATTTGACATTTGATTTTGTTCTTCATGCTGTATGATTTAAATTGTAAACTCGTGCAAAAAGACGAGAGGAAGTCACTCGAACAAGGAAAAATATGATAGATTTCTCATATAGATGATACAGTATAGCTATGACCTTGAATAAGTATAAACTGACCAGTGATGTAGTATGATCGTAGTTCTTAAAATGTATGTTTGAAAATCACCAGAATATGGAGGGGCATTTAAAAAAAAGAGCAATTGGTAAATCATGATTCTAAGCGCCTCATTAGACTGTTGATGTGTAATTCATACTCAAAGCATTAGTAGTGGAAAAAGAGCAGTATATAAAAAGAAAGATTTATTTAGAAAATAGTAGTAGATAGAATAATAGACTACCCTATTCATGTTGTCTGTATATTGGCCAAGCATGTTTTTCAGTAATATTTTATTGTTAGGGAATTACCTATTTCTCCTTTCAGAGTTTGGTGGCAAGTATGGGTACAAATACTTTGGCTGCAGTGTGTGAGCGTCTTGCTAAAGATCACAGGTTCACACGCAGTGGTTTCCCAGATCTTGTGGTTTGGGACCCTCTCAATAAAGTAACTATTGTTTTTGAAAACTTTTGATCACTTGAATATCTGATATATGTTCTGTTTTGCCTTGTACTGGAACAGATTATACAGTATATATAACTAAAGTTCTGTCCATCTGTTATGATTATGTAATTAGATAGTTTAACAGCTCTCTGTCATTCCCTCTCAGAAATGTCGAATTGTTGAAGTAAAAGGACCGAATGATCGACTGTCAACAAAACAGATCCTCTGGCTTGAATACTTGCTTGATAGTGGTGCAGTTGCTGAAGTCTGTCACGTTGAAGGTAAATGATGATTGTATCAGCACTGGGCTATTTTTCTTATTTTAGCTTAGTCTCATTTTCTTGTAATGCCTGCTTTATTATTACTTATTTATTTATTTTATTTATTTATTTTTATTATTAATTTTTAATGTCTACATTAGCAATACTGAAACTTAATTACAGTATAGCAGGATAATTCTGTGTTTAACCGATTGACAATGCGGAACATGCACTTTCTTCCATAATTTCTTATGAATCTCACTGGTGGCTCCACAATGCCTCAGCCATCAGTCAATTAATATTGTTGACATTATGATTTTTGCATTGTTATTAAAATGCTAGTAATGGTTAATGGTTAATGGTTAAGATAAATGTGCTAGACATCTAAGGTCATATAGCACTATAGGAAAGTATAGTAAAGAGGGATGTCAGGTGACAGTTGTAATGTGTCAACTATCTAGAATATTGTTGAGAGGTTGAGGATGAGGGAAAAGATTATGGTGGTTTAGGTAAAGGAGTTAGATCAAGTGAAGGATATTTATGTGTCTGAGGAAGGAGAACAGGTTGTCGAGGCAGAAACTGTGAGATTCTGTAAGGATGTCTGATATGTTGGGAGGTCGGTGAAGGGAGGATAGGTGTGGAAAAGCAGAGGTACGTGCTGTATTAAAACGTGGACAGGACAAGAGAATGTGTGGGACTGAAATAGGGATGTTACATAGAGGACATAGGGGCGGGTCTGAGCGTGACATCAGATAGGCATGTGTTAGGCGAGTGTGGCCAATACGTAATCGTGCGAGGGCAGTCTCCCAACGTCTGTTCTTGTGAAATGGAGCTGACCAAGAGGAGATTGATGGTTTTACGGTATGTAATTTATTGTTGTGGAGTCTTGACCAAAAAGATTGCCATCGGGTATACAAGAAAGTCTTAAAGTGGGGGTAGTAATCTGTAGCTGGAATATGTGAGAAGCGTTGTTGAGGTGATGAGGACATTGCGGCATATCGTGCAAGAGTATCTGCCTGTTCATTGCCAGGGATTCCAACATGGCTGGGTACCCAGCAAAATCTGACAGATTTGTGACGTGTGGATAGATAGAACAACCAGTTCTGGATCTTACAGACAAGGGGATTGGTCGAGTGCATTGACTTTATGAGGGTTAAAGAATTACGGGAGTCAGTAAAAATAGTAAAAGAGGAAGAGGTGGATGAATATATGCGTCTTAAGGCAAAAAGGAGTGCATATAGTTCTGTAGTAAGGACACTAGATTCAGGAGGGAGGGTGTATTAGACAAAAATGTAGATGAATATCAAGGAAAAGGGTAAATAGGTGAGATAAGTAGGAACTGATACCTCAGGGACTAAGCACTTGTAGAACCAAGTGTAAATAAAATTATTGAACTGAAATTGATGTGGATCTTGCATGTCCTGCCATCCAGGCATTATAAGCCAAGCAATCCATACTTGTTTAAGAAATTTCTTCCTTATTGAAACAGCAATTGGAGCCAAGAAGATGAAGAAGGCATCGCCTCGGAAGATCTCACCCAAGAAAGTATCACCCAAGGAGTCACCTCCAAAGTCAAGGAAAGGCGGAAAAAGGTCAAATTGTGATGACGGAGAGGATGGTGGAAGCAACGAGAATAAAAAGCAGGCAAAAAGAAGGAAGAAAGCGCCCAAGACTGATCTGCCAAAAAAGGGGAGAACGGGTAAGTTGCAAGATAAGGGGGATGATTCTGACGATTTTGAAGAGCCTAGTGTTAAGATTAGAACTGGGAAATCCTAATGTTTCTTTCTTATTATTGTTATTATCATTATTATTTTTATCATTAAAATTATTATCATTTTCATTATTCTAGCATGTATGTGTATGTGTAGATATGTGTATGTATGAATGTATGCATATGCATATTGTATGTTTCCAAAGGAGTACCAAATACCATAGCTTATTCCAATATTGTGATAAACTTATGTGTGTGTGCGTGGGCATGCATGCATTTGCATAGATAAGAATGTGTATGTATGAATGTATGCATATGCATATTGTATGTTTCCAAAGGAGTACCAAATACCATAGCTTATTCCAATATTGTGATAAAATTACATTTAGTCTATGGAGATTTGTAAAATTTCAAAAATTGTTATTACAGTATTGTAAAGTAGTATAGATATTTTTATTTCCTATGTTTAAGTGAAGAACTACAAATATAATTTTAAAATTGTTATATTCCCTGTTAATTATGTAATTGTTGGGACACTTAAAATGTAGATAGGGAGGCACATACTGTGGCTGTCCATAATACAGCAATACTGTTTTTGGAGGTTCCTTGGGAATGGGGAACTTGTATCATGTTGCATGAGTTACATTTTTAGCAAATTGTTTGAATAGGAGACGAGTTATTATGCATGAAAGTGGAAAAGAAAGTTTACAAAAGGAATTATGTATTTTTATACAAGTAGATTCTTAAACCACTGAATTAGTGATGTTTAGATTTAAATAATAGTTTTCATGTAAGTGTAATATTTCTTAATCTCCTACACACTCTAAAATGTATATTTTAGATAGTATTGTAGATCTGATGAGGTCAGTACACATATTTTCCTCTTTTCCTTGTATTTTGTACGGTTTTTGTTTGTAACCTTATAAGCTGTATGTTACAAGCTTCATCAATTAAGTTTGTTATTAACAAAATCTCAGTATTATTAATTTTCCTAGTGTTATTTTAAGATTTGTGTATATTCAGTGATTTAAATTTGTTACTTTTTATGAAGAAAATCATGGTATTATTCATTTTTCTAATATGTTAAGATTTGTATATATTAAATTACCTTAAAATTGTTACTTTTGTTGTGCCTTTTTTTTTTATTCACCTCTTTGAATAAAAGTTACTTTTATGAGTAACTGAAATATTAGAAAATTAGGAAATTTAGAAAAACAATTTTTGAAGGAGAAAAAAAGATATTCCATACCAACATAACAGGGAAGAAATAAAACAATGGCTGCTACCAACTAAAATAACAGTTAGCCCTTGAAATTTTCAGGGGAGAATCAGAGGCCCTGAAACTCCTTGGAAATGCATTTAACTCAATTTTGGCACAATGGGCAAAAAGTGACCAGACAATCCCCTTAACTTAGTGTTAAAGTAGAATATACATCATTTACACTATCAATCATGTTTTCAACAATGAATATTCAAGCCAGGAGCTTTTTCTTCTTCTTTTTTCCTTGCAACTGACTACATCTAAAATTAGTGTATAATGTAAATAAACAAACACCAATAGTACTTTATTATTTTCACATAAGCTGTACATACGATTTCCTATACTTCAAATATCACTATGAAACCTTTTATAATTAATATCATATCTTGGTTTCATGGGAGCTATGACAATAGATCTTAATATCTGCAATAAGCAAAATTAGTTGCCGCTCAATATATGACAAGTAAAAAATTAAAATAACTTTACATCTTGCAAATGAAAATTGAGTGGGAGGGATTTCAATTTCCTACAATATATTAGATCACAAAACTTTACCCTTTTGCATGACGATTAAATTACACCTTATATCGGTTATATTCAGATACTGATTGTTAATACCATTATGCCAAAGGAGGTACTAATTGACAAGTTGCACATGGAAGGCCAGAAACTAAACTTAACAACATTTATAAATAGTTAATAATATTTGCAATCACTTTTCAAAGCCTAAGGAATATTTAAGCTGCGCTCCATTTATCTAAGAGGGGAAGACGCTAATGAGGTTAGAGATGAGAACGAGGAGTCGTAGTGCCTCGTGGACTGGTCATCATCTGCTTGGTTGTTCTTCAGCTCTCCCATAGTGTGCACCAACCGAGCCCATTCATCCGCGCGTGGAAGTGCAAGTTGCTGGAAGGTAAAATTCAAAGGTGATATAAAAGCCATTTGCATATGGCCACACTAATATCAATATTTAGTACAGCTCTGATATTATTTTACAATACATTTTATGACAATACTAAACATTGAATTTGTAGAGCACAGGATTACTTACTTCTCCTACATCATAGATCCAGATTTTACCCATATCGTCACCAACTGTGATTTGTTGACCAGAGTTAGTCCAGGACACTCTATTCAGAGCTGGGTTACCGTCGACATAGGTACTTGCTGTAGGAACCTGGAAAAATATCAGCAGTCAGTATCTTCATACTTTTTACCTCTTCAGTACATAAATAAAATACACAAATGGATCATACTTCAAACTTCTACTTTTTCTTTATCCTATCACATAAGAATGAAAGACGAGATAAAAAAATCTCAATGAATGGCCTTAGTATACAAGTATTTGTTTTTAAAGTATCCACCTGTCAAAGATGGCCATACCTCAGTGTCCTGGTTTAGATTCCAGAGGTCAATCCTTCCTGATCCGTCCACAGCCGTGAAGAGAGCAGGATGGATGGGTGACCAAGCCACATCATATACATAGTCGCCGTTGTCCTCAAATGAGTATAGAGGCTTTGTTTCCTGTTAAAATACAAAAATTAATGAGATAAAATTCAAATGAAGCATATTGTAGTTTAATCAAGCTAAATATAAAATAAAAAACTGAACCAAAGCAAAGAATACTTCCTATTTGTGAATGAAGGCACTCTTGAAAATAATATAATATAATGCATGATAAAACTGCTTTTGAGAAGTCTGTGCTTTGTGAATGCTTGCTTTGAAAAGTAAAACACACAAAAAGCTGTAAACATTAAGAAATAACAGTGGGGCAAGGCAAAGAGTAATATTCACCCTAATAACTTTTACAAAAGTGGAAATTATGATCGGTGGGACAGATTTTACAGTGCTCTTTGTTCTGATTATCAAAATTAGCAACATGAAACTATAACTTTTGTGATCTAACATCTAATGAAATGCAGAATACATAAAAAAAAGATAAAGCACAAACTAATGCAATATTACTTCAACACAAACCTGTTTTCATCCCTTGTTACATAGCAAAAAGCTTCTGTAGGGAGACAATATATGATACTGCTATTCTACTGTATCTAACAATATTAGTTTTAACCTCCCAAAAAATCTATTACAAGGAGAGCTTATTTGCTTTTACATCTCCTTAAATTACAACTTTGTATGCATATACTTCTTCACTAGCTCATATATATCCATCTTGTTTTGGATAAATCTCAATGTCTGAAGAATTGGATAGAAAAGCACAAAAACGTCATGCAAAGCAGAAGCGGCATTCTACGACAAAACTGTAAGAACTGAGATTTCCAATTCTGCTGTAGTCCATATCACCTCAGGCCACATACCAAAAGAATGTGACGTTTTTTGCCTTAAAATACATTGCAATGATGATAATAACAAAAAGATCACAAGATTCCCCGCATTCAATTCCGAAGATCAGCATAGTAACACAAATCTTTCCCCTTTTGCTTTATATCCTAGACACACTTAGATATACAACAGCCACCTCCTATGCTTCACTTTGGTTGTGATCAAAGGAAAAACCTCAGAAGAAAGGTGTAAATCAGACATCCATGCTCTTGAGGAAAACGAGTTTCCTCAGTCAAAAAGCTCATTTGATTCCACATGAATGCTTACCTTCATAGACCAATGCTATCACATCCCATACAGATCATGGTAGAAGAAAAACATGGTGTTACAAATATAAATATGTAACATGCATGAAACCGCTCACATGAGAACCATTTCATGTATCCTTTCATATGAATATTACATTATGAGTCTAATTCTTGTATGTAAGCAAAGAAAAGTAAACTCTTTTTTATCCTACATTTACTTAATGGTATATGTATTACTGTCAAAGAAGCTAAATGCCAAGTTGTGCATTTTGTATCTGTGTGTTTAAGGTATGCTATCTGTTATCTATGTTACACAGAATACAATACAATTGTTTTATTGCCTTCTCATCGTAAACTCAATCTCCTCCCCATTAGTTATTCTTTCATTTTTAAACTATTTACAAAATATCAAATAATAAACTGTGTAAGTGTTTTAAAGAACTTTATCATGTATTTTACCTGTGATGATACTGAATCCCAAACTCCCAATTTAAATTTCAATGCCTTTACACTAGTTGTATTTACTATACATGTCGTATTCTGTATGACACATACATACCCACGTCCACACAGTGAAAATATATTAACACAATTAAAGTGGTATATGCTGCAAGCTCTGTTACCAAAACAAAGGAAAAAGAAAATGCATACAGGACTATGTTATGCAACATCATTCTTGGCTAAAAGTCTCTAAAACTTACCTTAACAGACCAAAGCTTGACTGTCCAGTCAATTGATGAAGTGAGGAAGAGATGTGAGAAGTCAATAGGTCCCAGGGTAGCATGAGTGCTCACACCTGTCACTGGGCCCTGGTGTCCCTCGTAGGCATCCACTATGCCGGCTTTACTTCCGTGGCGGCAAGCTGTTTGGGAAATTGTCTTGTTATCATATTCCATGAGAAACAAAGGGTAACACAGAAATGAAAAATACTATGTGGGCTATATCAAACTCCTACAACCATGTTACGATGTAAATTTTTCCACCACAAAATAAACGCACCAGTAAATACAGCTCCTTCTTCAGAGCCCACAATAAAGTTATTGACATCTCCATGAGGGAAGGCTAAAGATGTGACTGCTACTGCACGTGACTGCTTGTGCTGGAGCTCCATTGATTCCTAATATAAAAGTAATCTCATTATTAAACAAGCCTTTAAAGAATATGGACATCAGTTTCCATTAACTTTATCTCAACTTTCAAATATCATATTGTCAATGTTCTGAGAACTATTACAAATTATAATTATAATTACAAATTGTAATTTTGAACAAATAGACAAATAGGGTCATTTAACAGCAACAAATACAAAACTAGTTTTCTGTCATATAAAAGGCCAAACAAACCTGAGGCTGTGATAGCATGTCCAAGGACCAGGAACACATCTTTCCATCAGTACTTGCACTGATAAGATTGTGGGCATTTTGGGTGCCAACCACCTTCATGCAGTACACAGGATGCTAGAGAAAAGGCAAAGATTAATTCTAAGACCCTTAAAATACCATCGTCTCTATTTCTCTCTTTCTCTGCTGGAATGATTTCATTACACACAATGAATAATAGTTCTTTTGTGCCTGTAAAAGGATATCTAACTTATCTGGGAAGATTATGATCTTACTTTACAGAAAGGCAATGAGAGGAAGAAAAGACTTTAGACTTACAGTGTGAGCTGAAGCAGACAGGGGACTGCGCTGGACTGGAGTTCTCTTTTGGCTACGGTTGTCCCAGAGAACAATTTGTCCAGAATAAGTTCCACCAATGATCAAATTGGGATGGAACCTTCATGGAATACAAGAAGATCATATAATTTCTATACCAAAGAAACAGCATGAATGTCTCAAAAGAACCTGCTAATGCAAATTCAAAAGCCATCTGATCCATTGGCAAGATATGAGAATTTGTAACAATATCAAAATTAATTTTCAATCACACGAGCTCCTAATATGAACAGACAAGCAAAACGTGTATAAATATATATGCACTTAAGATTACATCCACACTCAAGCAACATAAAAGGCTTACCTTGCAAATGTTGCAGACATCACTGGAGACTGACAATGGAAGATATACTCTGGTGTTTCTTTCTTAAATTTGGTATTCCACACAAGGGCAACACCATCGGGGTCATGAGGAGAGTCCTCATTGTTGTTGTAGCTGTGACAAAATATTTGCTTCCATCATCCACAACAGGTTGGAAATAATCATACATATATATCAGACATTAACGAGCACAGTTTTATATATCATATTAAAAGCTAAACTTCTAACCTGGTAACAAGGAGTTCAGGATACTGAGGAGACCAGTCCATGCAAGTGATACAGCGATTGCGTGACCATCGTTCATCATAGAACCAGCGATTCAGGGATAACTTGACACCTCCATTCTCATTTCTGCATAAAAAAAGGTTAGTAAATATTCCTTGCACTGAGAAGAAAAAAAAGAAAGGAAGGTAGAAGAATAACAAGAAGAAAAATGGAACTAGTTAACTCCTGAAGAAAAAACATTCTCACACACAACCTGCAGACAGAGTTTTCACAATGTGACTGATGCCGATTTTAAAATACTTATAAAAGACAGGAAAAGCTAGAAGTGCGTAAAGAGGGGAACAACAGGGAAAGGGCCCCCAAAGATGCCCCATATACATACGCTTCACCATCCTCTTCGTGGTCATGCGAGTAATCTGCGAAGATGTTGGTGTCCTCTGCAAGGGCTCGCTCAATTATACGAGTCGAGTGGTCAAAGAAGCTGTGGAACTCCTCTGTCATCATCAACATCTGCTTCTCTTCATCTGACAGCTCACGGGCTGTTTTGTCAACGAAGACAAAATACCATCTGTCATATTGTAAACTCTTTTCTCATACTACTATGTAACAACAATGAACCTTTACACCAGGACAGCTTTGAACAGAATTAGAATATCATAAGAGAAAGGGTTGCAGCTAATATAATCACGTAATAACATATAGGAAGGAAAGCTAACCAGTGAACAACAACCTCTAAAGATCCAAAGTTTAAAACAGATATACTAAAAAAAATAAAAAATATAAAATTCAGACTCCAAGTTAAACCCCCCAAACCCTGACAAGGAAAGCCAACAACCCTTACGTGGCTTGGGTTTCTCCTCCTCGACCTTCTTCTCAGCTTCGGGGGCGAGGGCCGGCTTGACGTCCTGCACCTGCGGCATGCCCGTGGGAAGAATCCCAGGGGGAAGGTGGCGGTTGTGCCCTCCTCCGAACATCGGTGGGGTGTCAAGCATGGTCAAGGAGTTGTCCTCCTCCTCAGCTTGCGGGTCATCGTAAGTAAGAACTACATGGTAAATAAGTCTGTTTCTGTTCTATCTATAAGTCATTTATGTTTTTTTTTTGTTTTTTTTTGTTTTTTTTTTTAATCATTATAACTACATTTCTCTTCTTTTCAATTTTTTTCATTGGAATCATTAATCTTAATATATGAAAAGGTTACTGCCTCTTATCTCAAAAGAAAAAAAGAAAAAAGAAAAAAAAAGAAAAAAGAAAAAGAAACTTGATTTCTAATAACAAGTCAGGAAATCTCATTCTGTATTACAAACTGGTTGAATCTTTTTACCAAAGGAATTTTTCCAAGAACTACAATAAAAAACAAAATAAACAAATCATGTACAAAAAGGTCATCAAGTTTCAGGAACATCAAAGGTTACGACAGAATTTATGAAAAAATCAATAAAATAAACAAAATTATATCTAAATCATTTAATCTTAAAATGGTGCATAGAGTGAAGGGTGCGCTCTGCCCTGTGGTAGCCGTTTGATATCTTTGTGACAAGCAAAAATATAAAGAAAAAAAAAAAAAAAAAAAAAAAAAAAAATGTATACATAGTAATAAAAAAAGAAAACCTCTTCATACTATCGGAAAAGAATGTAAAAATGAAAAAGAAGAATATACTGAAATGGAAGAGGAGACACAGTACACTTCAGTCTTCACTTACCGAGAGAAGGAAAAAGAAAATCAGGTTTGGATAAAAGACTTGACTGAAGTTCTCTAACTAGACTGAATTACCTCTTGATAAAAAAAAAGAAAAAAGTATTTGCAATATACCCAGCATTCTAACATCAAATGCTTACAAAGCATGCCATGATGACAGTATCATAACAGAAAGAGTCTGAACAGGGGAAAAATTAAAGAAAAAAGAAAAAAAAATATATATATAACAAAACCTTGCTCCTATTTATGTCAAGAAGCCAACTCTAAAATATGAATATGTATTCTATGAACTGCCATAGCATCTTTTAAAGCTAACTATAGCACCTATGACTATAGCTTATAATTTCTAGTCTCATAAATCTGGACTCCAGATTCTGTATCATATTTCCGTAATCATTTATGAAATTGTAATATATCCGGCTTCATACATATCCACACTGTTAGTGGCCAGTCACTACTAGTTTCTATCATAAACAAATAAATAAAATAATCAAATAATAACATAAAATTCTGGAGATATAAAGCTGATGTCGAGAGCTGAGGATCCCTCAATACCTTGAGTAAACTCCAGTGCTTAATTTACATACAATCAACACAAATGTCTATAGTAATGATGTACTGAATACAGCCTTTCGGCTTACTATGTCACATTCTTCAATCACTTTGCAACCACATTCTAGGCTTGTGTTATACTTCAATTTCTTTTTTCTTTTTTTCTTCTTTCTTTTTCTTTAACAAAATCAGGAAATGTGAAAGTAGTAAGGTCAATCCTACCGAGCCACAAAAAGGACACGCAAGAAAAGCAATAAAATCACAAATGAATCTTTGTCCACCGGGTAACATTAAAGCAATCAAAGCTTATTGGGTTACAGGACTCTTTTACCTCGTTGACCTCTTTTAAAACACATTTCCTCATTCTTCTTCTGAACTATTTGTGAGAGAAAGTCTGAACACAGATCATAGAAACAGTATACACCAAGTACACCTCCAAGAACGAGAGACATCTTATGCCTGTTTCATCATTAGCAAGAACCATCAGGTCACATTCAGGCATCACAATATCTGATAAAGGGAAAGGGGGGAGTGGGACCTGCTTCTGAAATCATTTACAATTTCCAACAGTGGGTGATGAAAGGAGGGAAGAGAGGAAAGACTGGCATGCAACTAGCTAGAGATGAACAAGTACGTTACGCTTAGCGTATGTAGATATACGTATGGGGAAAAAAAAGAAAGAAAAGTACAGAGAAACTACCTTACATCTCAAATCTTTAAAATAAGAGAGAAAAAAGTCAGTTATCTAGTGAATACTGGGCACATTTAGAACTTAAAGAGGGAAGGGGTTTCTAGACAGGAACAATTACAATGTACACTACAAAATTCAACAATTAAGCAAATTGATGTCGTTACAACGTTCCTTCCGGAGTTAGTTACTGAGCAGGTTATCACATAACTCAGTAATAAATTGGTGACATTTGAAAACATGCTCTTCATTTAGTCAGCAGAAAATATGGAAATTACCCTGACTAACATGTTTCAATTGTTAGAACACCTAATGAAAATTAATGAGTGTTTGGCTCTTTTTTCTGGTTAGCATATTAATACTTCATGAAAACAATTCATAATCTATCCCAAAATACCTCCATAATTTCTTACAGAAAATAAAAAAAGTATATACTTATATATAAATAAAGAATGAAATGCCTTTGTCCAAAAACACATTACAGTTCATATGTACTGAACTAATATATCCTATAACCAATTTAACTAAAGCACAGGCATTGGTCTGGTACAATCCATACATTACAACAGCCTATATCATTGGAGGTCAAGTCTAGGCCTTCAAGTTTGCAGTGTCAGTCATGTCACAATGAAAGTATAAAATAAGCAGGTTTTTGTCACATCACGGCATTAAGCGTAAGGCATTTATAAATGCTGAACTGTATAGATATGTATATATTCATATATACACACATGTGTATGTGCATAACTTTGTGTATGCATATAAATAAGCATACATAAATAAATAAATAAACAATAAATATATTTATATATTTATAGAATAAATAAATAAATAAATAAATAAATAAATATATATATATACACATATGTGTCTATATATATTCATATAGATTTAAATATATTTATATTCATATATATAGATGTATATAATATATAGATGTGTATATATATATTATATATATATATATATATATATATATATATATATATATATATATATATATATTATACATATATATTATACATATATACATATATACACATACACATCCATACATATATGCACATACACAAATATGTATAAAAATACCTAGAGCTATTAAAGCTTGTATCAAAAGATGTATAAGCAATAAGTGAATAGAGAATATAAATTTCCATAATACCTATTTCTAGAAAATGAGCTAATGCAAATATTGATCACTTTTCCCGCACCTGCAATTCTCATGAACTGAAACGTTACAAAGAGAGTAACGGACTGATTCCTCTCTCTATCTCCATTCTCAAAGCAATTTCTCTTTCGGAGAGCAACCTTTCCTTCTCACAGAGGACAAGAGAAAGACTTAATACATAATTACAATATTTGCATTATCATTTTCCCGTCATACATTCACCAGCACACAACAGAACACAAGGACAGACAACAGCAAACAGTAAAGGCCAAACACTAAAGCAGCTGATAACCATAAAGCAAAAGACAAGAGCCAAGGTAACATCAGCAGCAGTAGCGGCCAGGAGCACGGGACCTACCTGTGAATTCATCATCCCATTCTAGCGCTGGGTTTAGATTATATTCGTCTGGGTATAGGAGAGAGGGGGGGGGGAAAGAAAAAAGACCAAGTCAGTCTACCTCCGTGGTGGGCTGTTAGCAAACATCCTCACAGCCACATCAGTTCACAATCAAACTTTCTTCTTTTTTTTTTTTGTATTTGTTAACAGTTGATTACATACTTTTAGTGTTAATCATTACTCTCTAACATGAAAAAACAGCAGTACAAGAGGATCTTAAAGTGTTAATTTCATCTACAAATCTCTGATGCATAATGAACATAAAACACATGTGGCACAGTGACAATGAGATCATATATTAGCTCACATTTGTTGCAAAACAGCACTGTCGTGCAAGCCGACAATGCGTCGGACATGGACAAGAAGCCTACGAAGGCAAAAAATGTGTACATGTTACTGTGTCAGTTTTTTTTTTTTTTTTTTTTCATGCCTCATGCACTATGGTAATGAGACTGCAGAAGACTTAGTGATGACACAAGCGACAGCAATCATAGGATACAGAACCTTGTAAAGTGTGGACCACTTGTAGATATAAACAAGCATATCAAAGTCTCACACACCCTTTTAGTGTGTGTGGGGAAATTAATTCTCTACAGTTCACTAGGCATTATCAAATGACAGGCAAAGTCATTTACCCATTATCTGAACAGCAAATAGCATTAAATGCATCCAATAATTTAAAAGGAAAAGAAAATTATGAAAATTATTTTCAAAAATGAATAAATAAAAATCAAACAAAAAGTATAGACTACAGCTGTGACAAAACCAACTTCAATGAACTTTTCATAATTTGACACAAGCAACTGTGTTCATTCTTGGACAGCCAAAGCTACAAATTCATGGCTTTATTGCCTCTCTACCTCAACAAAGGTTATCAAGCAACTAAGCAGTACATTGAAAAAATAATTAAATAAAAATTAAAAATCGAAAAAAAAAAAAAAAAAAAAATTAACAATCAATAGAATTGACAAACCATACTCTTACTTACGCATATTGTGGTATTTAGATCGAATTTGAGCTAAGATTCCATCTCCTAGAATTGGGAAAAAAGAAAAAAAACAAATTTAGACCAAGAGCTACGCAAACAGTCAACTACTCCTCCGAGTCCACTAAACGCGTCTTCCCCGTGATCCATAATCATGACAAAACAAAGGAAGCCGCTACCCTCAACTACTGAGAATTGGCTGACACAAAGTCCAGGAAAGAAGCAAAGGTTCTGTATCCATCTTCAAGGTTCCTAGGCCAAATTTTCTGTCGCTTTTTTTAAGATCACAAACAAGCGTTCGTGTTCGGGTATTTTCTTTTTATTCTCTCAGGCTTAAAATACTGTAATGGTCTAAAACAGACATTAAAACTCTTAAAAAGAGAGAAATGTATACATACTTCATATCATTTTATTTGTTTTCTTTTTAAACAGATTTCTTCTGCAAAGAGTTCACTTGCACCTTCACCAGAGTGCCACAATTTCTTTTTTTTTTTTGTGCCTATCCTGACACTGTACTCCAAAATTTGGGTCCTGATTTTGGGGGTATGGGATTTCTACTAGTGCAACAGTAGATAAAAGACAAATATACTCCTGCCATGTACATCAAAAAAATAAAAAATAAATAAATAACAATGATAAAATGGTCATTGCCCTGATATCCATGCATCATATCCATCAAGAACAGACATTTACATACGGCACTTTATCTGATCTGCTAACCCTTTTGAGTGTCTACAGGTTCATGCAAGTAAATGAGGAGACAATATAAGCCCACTTTTCACGGTACTTAAGATTTGTATGAGAAAAATATTGAAAAAAAAGAGAAAAAAAAAAAAATCAAATAATATGTAAATCAGGGGGAGTTGGGGTTTAAGGACTAGCCAAGCAAAGGCAAAATATACAAGGCAAAAGAATTTGTATATGTTGCTCCAATAACGACAAATAGCTTGAAAAAAAATCCTAAAAATAACAGGTGGCACACAATCATGTATAGCAGGAAATGCTCTCAAAATATACTGTTGCTTTTTTTTCTTTCTTTCTTTTCATATGGTAATATGCAAATAATGATGTAAAAATAATAACTATAGTGATGAAAATACTATCTTCTAAAGATGCGCTCTGAACACCAGCAAAGATGCAATTCTGATTCCTACGTTACGAAAGCAAGACGGTACTAAAAACAAAATAATAATGAATTTACAATGACATGGCTATGGGGATGTAAGCCTATGATCTAATTTTGTCTGAACTACCAAATCAGAACTATGAGAATATCTTCACAACTTATGCTCTAATAGAGGTCATAAATCTCATTAGAAAAACATGCTACACAAATTGTAGTTCCATGTCACCGGGGGCAATTAATACCCTAGGGAGGTTGTCAGACTCTTGGTCGTGTCAATACTACCATAAGGCTTTGGCAATGGAAGGTGCGAGAGGGAAGAATACTGAACTTCTCTGTATATTAGCTCCTTTTAATAAATCATTATGACTACAAACAATACAAGGAGAGTGGTTTCCTTTTGGTGAATTCCCGTTGCCAAAGCGTTACAGAGTCAATCTCTATCAATATATACATTCTTTTTCTTTTTCTTTTTTTATGTGCAAGGGAGTGAACAGTAATCCAAATGAGAATGCCATAAGAAGCAGACTGTGGAAATTCAAAATCAAATGAGACAACTGTGTATGAACTGTGCATATATGTGGAAGATTGCATTCCAACTGTACCTTATATCTTCACCTGTTTTCATAGTCCTTTTTTTTACTTTACTCAAACAGCTTCATGCATTCATTCATTTACTGTGAGTGTGTGTGTGTGTGTGTGTGTGTGTGTGTGTGTGTGTGTGTGTGTGTGTGTGTGTGTGTGTGTGTGTGTGAGAGAGAGAGAGAGAGAGAGAGAGAGAGAGAGAGAGAGAGAGAGAGAGAGAGAGAGAGAGAGAGAGAGAGAGAGAGAGAGAGAGAGAGAGTGAGAGAGGGAGGGGGGGAGAGAGAGAGAGAGAGAGAGAGAGAAAATGGACAGAAAATTAATGTTGATATCACTAGGAGTTTTATTGTGAATTCAAGAGAGTTACCCTGTTCAGGTTTGCAATAGTATTCATGTTTGTTTGTGACATTCAATATCACAATTATCTATAAATCTATTGTATGCCTGTTACAATTATGTAAATCAGCAGCCACATAAGACACCTGTGTTTGTGTCACATTTATTTTAATATATATATATATATATATATATATATATATATATATATATATATATATATTATATTATACTTATATAGACACATTTGTTCTGATCTGAATTTGAATCTACAGTCTCAATTAATTTTAAAACCATGAAACAAATTTTGTTCAATCAGCCCAAGGCAAAATGAAAACTTGCATAAAAGGTAAAAAGAGATAAAGAGAAAATAATGATAAAAAAAGAAAAATAAATCAAGAGATGCATGTCTCAAAGTCAAGTCAAGATCCTCATTGTAAATTACAGTCATGTGGAGACAGGGTATATGTGCGCAGTCACAAAAATATATATATATAAAAAAAAGAAAATGAAATACTAAATAGTAGTATAAGGAGGAGGAAGAGGAGGAGGATGAATCACTGGTACCGTCAACACAGTCTAGAACAAGGTCCAAGGTCCCGCATGTACATAATCCGCTAATAAACTAAACAAAAACAGCAACTCGAGTAGAAGCAAGCAGGCACAAATCGAAATTAACAATTAGGAAAAAAATAAAAAAATAAAAATATAAATATAAACACATACACAAAAAGAAAAGAGAGAGAAAAAAAAAGGAAACAAATGCGCAAAATAATAAATATGTATATGTACACATTCTCTAGGACGATGACACATAACTCCACGAAACCACTGCTCAGGGGGGGACACTTACTCAGGAAGGCACGTGTACGGCTCGACAAGCACGGAGGCAAGAGAAGCGCTAGCCCGTCACTCAGGGGGGAGGTAACACTCTCATTTACAAGCGTCACATCATTCCAATACAGAATACCACCAAGGACTACAGTATATAATCCAAAAAGGAAACATCTCTCTCTTTCTTACTAAGTTTTCCTTTTTCCTTTATCTTTTAAATCTAGTTATCTTTCTTTTTTTTCTTTTTTTTTTTTTTATTTCAATCTACAAGGAACATCACCAAGCCCATGTGGTAATAGCAAATAAGGAAGAGGAATATTTATGCATCTACGTACAGTTTTCTGCAAGCTTGGAACTAAAAACAGCAAACCGTGTATCACAAACCAAACCAAACCAAATCATAAAAAAAGTAAAATAAGAACAAGCTACAGTACAGAGGATGAGCAGGAATTCTTTTTGAGTTTTTACTTTTTTTTTTTTTTTTTTTTTTTTTTTTGTAAAGTGCTAAGATGATGATTTTTTTTTTTTTTTTTTTTTTTTTTTTTTTTTTGAGGGGGGGAGGGCAGAGGTCCACATAGAAAACTAACACTTACCGTAATAGTCGAAGGCATGGGCTGAGGTGAGGGAGAAGACGGGGTAAAAGTGAGTAATTTTTTTCCTGATACATCACCTGGCCTTTTTTTTTTTTTTTTTTTTTCTAAACTATAAATTATCTAATGCTAATACACTCCTATTAAGAAGACAGCAACACTAAAAAAATATTTACAAAAAGCCTCTCACAATCTTCAATGTGTATCCTTCGCATCCTTTCACTTCCTTAGAGTAACACTATTCTAGCTTTTGATTCATTGTATCAGTAAAAAAAAAATATATATATATATCAGACTTTTGAAAAAAGGTTCCTCTTTTTTTTTTTTATTCTGAACATGCAAAAAGTCTGTTGATATCAAAGGTTATTAAGACTGATATATGATATTGATACATAATCTAAAGGTTAGTCATTTTTGTTAGTTCATATCGAATGCAACTATGAAATGCATTTCTTGCCCACTGTTCATGTGTGTCTCCATGTATCTTTAGTATATACTTTCCTATTCAACTTTCCTATGGGGAAAAAATGCAATGAATCATATATACAAAAACCTATATACTAGATACTTCAAAGAACATCAATATACTGTGTTACTGTAGCAGCATATATATATATATTAGTTATCATACTCATACTGAAAGAGGAAACAAAAGTGAGGAAAATTGATAGTGAAACCATTTTAGCATACTTTTTTTTCCTAAAGAAAGACAGAGAATACGAAATCATAATCACTCAAACGTACACAAATTGAAAAATAAATATAAATAAAAAATAAAACAAATGGTTTCACTAGTGACATTACTTATGGGTCTACTAATACAACGAGTAATCGGCAAAAACAAGGTAATTAGGGTTTACTCAAATGCCAAAAGAAGCATGTTCGAAATTATAACATTTTCTTGGATACACTTTACTCCTGTGTCAGAAGCCCCATAAGCCAAATGTGTGAGAGAAAATCAACAAAAATGAAATACATGAGAAGAGCTAAGAAAATAAATCTGAATGGTGAGAAACTCCATGTCAAGGATTCAAAGAGCCAATTTGTGCTTCAACACTTCTTTACATGACCCATACATGTTTGTATTAAATGATCTACAGGTAATGCATGTTCACATTGTTGAAATAATAATCCAGTGGCTATTCCTAGCTTAGGTCTCTCCAATAACAAAGCTACATTTTTTTCCCCAAACAAAACACAAAATTCAATGGACCATCAGTTTGAATTGATGTAGCTGACTCTTAAACTAATTATCTTAAATCATGGAAAATCTGTATACTAAAAGAGACATTTAAACTGTACTTTCTTTTCTGTTTAATATAATGGTAACTATCTAACAACTGATTCACCTGTAGTTAGCACTTCCTCATATCATTCTTCTGATGCAGTATTCACTAATATCATTCTCAAATATTACAAAGCATAATATATTCATAATTCAATTATCATCCCCTACCAATGCATGAAATACTCTTATTCACAAGACTTTAGAGAAACATTTTCATAAACAACTAAATTACATAGTCTAATCAGTGTACAGTCACTATCATCAATATAACATGTTTAGCATGTCCAGCGGGATTTTCACAAAATGAAAGCTTATGCATGTCTCACTGAACACCTATGGTTATCCTGTACTAGCTATTTTCACCCCTTTGCACTGAGAAAGGAGAAATAACATGCCATTCTTCCGAAGTACTGATTAGTTTCTGAACACTGGTTTACATCACAAATTGCTCTTCCTGCGGTACCAGATAAAACAAACCTAAATTTGGTGTTCAAAATATAAAAACTACACTCGCAGTTCTTAATCTACATGAACACTGGAATGAAAGAGGTAAATTTTGAAAAAACATTAAAAAAGCTTCATAATCTGAAAGATAAATATGTCGCACAACATTTTAGATTTATTTAAAGATTAAAAATCTTTGTAACACAACGAACCGACAAGCACTGCCAATCTCCACACGGCCTGGAGTTACTACAAAGGCTAATAACAATCTCAATTGGTAAAATCAGCCTAAAAAAGTGCCAAATGCAGAAATGCTAAAAGCAAGTGAGTTTTGGTGCAGATATCAGCTGCTCTCTGCGTGTTCTTAAGCAACAGTACAGTCTTCCCTTACAAGTTCAGCACACAAAAATCTATTTCCTGAAAACTTACTTACGTTTCACCAGAACCAATGATATATCACTGAGGTCCTACTAAATCTAGCAACAACTCTATAATTATTTCAATGTCACCCTTTCTAATTCATATCTTCCGTTCAGTAAATAAATTCAGCCCTGTGATAGAAAATAATACAATAATACGTAGGGATAACCACTGATCCCTTCCTGTTATAAAATATTCACTTTAATTTCATTAGCATAGATCGTCTTTCATGAAAACAAATGGGTCACGTAAGTTCAGTGCTGAATTCTCTCTATAGAATCCATAGAGGTTTCGTAGATGTAAAAACTGTAAATTTATGTGCATATGTGCGTGCACACGTGCATACATACATACAAACATACCCATGTATAATCACACACATACATCTAAATTATATGTGATAGATATATATCTATTACAAAAATATGCACACACAAATATGTGAATGCATAAACTAAGCAAACACACACACACACACACTGTCCTTTTTTCTTTATCTCTCATATATATGTATATATATATGCATGTGTGTGTGTGTGTGTGTGTGTGTGTGTGTGTGTGTGTGTGTGTGTGTGTGTGTGTGTGTGTGTGTGTGTGTGTGTGTGTGTGTGTGTGTGTGTGTGTGTGTGTGTGTGTGTGTGTGTGTGTGTGTGTGTGTGTGTGTGTGTGTGTGTGTGTGTGTGTGTGTGTGTGTGTGTGTGTGTGTGTGTGTGTGTGTGTGTGTGTGTGTGTGTGTGTGTGTGTGTGTGTGTGTGCGTGTGTGTGTGTGTATGTGTGTGTGGTGTGCGCGCGCATGTGCACGTGTGTATGTGTGTGTGGTGTATGTGTGTGTGTTGTGTGTGTGTGTGTGTGTGTGTGTGTGTGTGTGTGTGTGTGTGTGTGTGTGTGTGTGTGTCTGTGTGCGTGCAAGTGTGTGTATGTGTGCGTGTGCGTCTCTGTGTCTATATATACATACATATGCATATATACATACATACATAAAGACAAATATACACAACATACACAACAAACACACACATATATACATATACATCTATACACTTATGCATACATACAATATATATACGCATATGTAATTTACATACGTATGTATATGTATTTATGTATATATATATATATATTATATATAATAATATATATATATATATATATATACATAAACACATATATACATACATGTATATATACACATATACATGTATGTATATGTGCGTATATATATATATATATATATATATATATATATATATATATATATATACATTATATATACACACACAACACACACACACACATTACATATACATTATATAACACATACATATATATAATGATACTATACACATACATATACTGACCAATATATATACAACATATATACATAATATAATATATACCATACAGTACATATATATAGATGAACACTAATACTACCCATAGTACATATATTATACTTATATATCAGTTCGCATATACAAAGATAATCACTCCCACACACCACACACACACAACATCACACACCAGAGAGATGCCAACACCCACACACCCATGCAGCATCGACACGTCAAACGGCCAAAAGAATCAGAAATAAGATTTAAGGGTTAGAGAGAGTATGCAGCTAAAGTTTAAGGCGGTATGATAATATAGTATATATAGTAGTATAGTTTATATATATAATAGTATCGATATAATGATATGTGAATATACTATAGGTATATATATATATAGTATATGAATAGTATATAGCATATAATATTTATATAAATTGAGTATATAGGCATATATATAAGTATATAAGTATACAATATACTATAATAATAGCTCATATAATATAGATATATATATATAATACATTAATTAGTATATATAGATATAATGATATAGTACGATAGAGAATATATATAGAATAAACTATATATAGTATCGTATATACATTGATACAATATACAGCTATAAATTATATTACATATTATATAAGCGAATAGGTATTAAAATCGCGTATATAAATTAGCGATAATAAGGCTATATATATAGAGGCTGTAAGTACATATATATATATATACACTCAACATAGTAATATATATAACATATATATATACAATAGTTAGATACATAATATATAAGATACCATATAGTACATATATAGTATTGATTACATATAATACATAATGATTATATCGAGTGTTATAGTACATATATATATAATAGTTCATACGTTATATATAATAATTAAAGCATATATAGTATATTACAAGACACACGACACACACATAAGATATTAAACAGACGAACAATACGTATATATAAATGATATATATACGTCACATACAATATAGAACATATATATACACATATTATTATCATATATTTGATACGTAGAGAGATATGAATAT